GTAAGCAGTGACATCCATTTCCGTTGGCACAGAGTAGAGAAGGGAATTAACTGTTTCAGAGCTTGGAGCACAAATCTGCAAGTTAAGGAAAAAGAGGAAAAAAAAAAAAATCGAGGGCTAGGTACACGGTTTCTGCCCCACGTTACTAAATGTGTATTGAAATGTATGAAATATTTAAAAGGTTTGCCATCCCTTTGACACCCAGCTCAGTGGCATTGATTGCTTTACTGGTTTCTCCCAAATAAAATAACTTTTCTGAGTATTTTCATATATGAAATAATACTTTTACGCCTCTTTTATTGATTGATTTAAAAAAATAGCACAGCTCTTGGCTAAGTGTTGATGGTTATGGGGAGCAGAGGACAAAAACAGTGTTACCTTGTGAAGGCATCATCTCTTGTTTGGTGACGAAAAAGCACTATACAAACACGATGGGGTTTTGTTTTTTTTCCCTGTAAGTTTCTAGTAGTATTGAGTAAACACACTCTCCTTTAGCATCAGTTGAAGGTCTTTTCCTTAACTCTGTTATTTTGTGTGGCTTTTCCCAGCTAGTAAAGTGCCTATCCCCCACAGTGGGTGTGGTGCAGATGGCAAATCTACTTTCATCGTTGCTGGAAAAAGCTATGCAGATGTAACGAATATGTGCAAGTGCTGCACACTCTCTTCCACAAGTTGTCTTGACTTTTTCTAAACCCTAATTACCGGTTAATTTATCTTCTACAGTTTGTTTCCTGGATTGGCTTGATTGTTTTGGTTTATGTACGAATGAAACAGGTTCATTTCAGTGATGAATAACTTGATCACTTATTAAAAACTTCTTTTGTCTAGAGGATATTAAAATTCAGAAAATATTGTAAACCATTCGTCATCGTAACAAGCTCTAAATATGATTACAAAATCCATTTTGCAAGTGTTATCTATTGATTTATACTAGAAATCAGTGATAACTATGTTGTCTGGAGTCAACCAGCAATTCTCATACCTATGGCTTTTCTAACACTAGTTCAAACTATAAACACACAACAGAAAGAGCCGATTGTGGCTCTCTAGAGCAGGTGCAGGAATTATTTATTTGGGTTGGCCTGGCACCATTTGTTTGGATTGTTTCTCCAAGTTCAAATTCTGGATTGATGTACTGAGCGTAAAAACCTAAAGACGTGGTGTGAGAATTTGTAACACTGTTCCTGTGGTCTCGGCGCTTTGTGGATCAATAATGAAACCATTAGATTTGGGTTACACAGTTTGAGGGCAGTACAGGCCCTAATGTAAGATGGAAAGCTTCTAAGTTGATGGCATTGAAACCATCATATAACAGATTAATCGTATTATAATTCATAGGTTTTACAGCAACAGATGATAACTGTTCAATTGTCAGTTTTTTTTCTGTTGATCCCTGACCTAATAAAACTTTTAGATTACCTAAGAGAAAAAAATAAACATTAAGTTTGTATAAATAGTAGATCTCGACCCTGGGAGCTATATAGAATATTCATGAACTGTGTTTATATTCACACAGCTCCTCTCACACTTTTAACATGTTGTGAATAAAAGATAGAAATGTACAAATTTCTCTATTTTATTAATCTGATGTGAGAAGTTAAAGAAAGGTAGAGTGTTACTGTTTATTTTCTCAGGAAAGATTCTTTAATCTAATTGTTTGATGATTATAAACGTGTGTGTATGTGTTTGTGTTAAGTTTACCCATTCATCCCATGGCTGTGGACTGACCACCCTCAGTATCCGCAGAGCAGTTTGCCAGGTGCCTGTGTTACTCTTAAAGGTCCCTTTCAGGGAGAGTTGGATATTGTCTTTGAATGTATAACAACTAAATGAGATAAAAGCTTGTTGATAAAGGGGCTTGAAGGCAGAGAGAGCTTTAGATCCCAGAACCAAAGGATCTATGTCCTCTTACCTTAAAAATGTTAGAAATCACATAAAAATTTATCTTTCCGCCGCTCTTTTTTATTCACTGATCTCTTAAATACCCAACTGTCCTTGTAGTGTAGTGTCTCAAAATGGTCAGCAAACAAACAAAAACACACTTTGAACAAACTTACCTTGAATTAAAGGAAGATCGAAGAGAGAAATACTGGAGCTATTGAAACTTGGTATTGGGAAAACTATATTATTTCTCATTATCCTTCAAGGAGCATTTATTATTTCTAGTAGTAACTACAAAAATACTGCAGAGTAGCAATGTGTGGAGGTTGCCATTTCTAAACTGATTTACAGAAACTGTGTGAGTCAGATATAGAGGATTTTCAAGTACAGTAATGAGGATATTAGCAAGCTGGGTCGGCTTGTGTCGGCAAAATAAGATTGCTTCATAAGTAACATTAATTGCTTTTAAATGAGAACCTAACAAATTGGCTCCGGCCTGGAAAATATGATGGTTTGTAATATGACTAAAATATTAAAATTAGACTTAAAATAGTTTCTGAGTTAATGACTAGACAATAATCTCCTATATAAAATTCATTTTCATTAGGAGTTTAATTTACATCATTTTGCATTGTGAATTATTCAGGCTTTAAGGGAAAGTGACAAGTAGCAGTTGTAAGACAAGTACAGAGCTGTGGGAAAACAGCTTTTCCTGTTATTGACAACATATTGATTCATAACACTCTAAATGTGGTGATGTGTCAGTTTGATCCGAATGACCACTTTACCCCTTGCATTGTCAACCTGAAGCAGTATTACCAGAGAGAAGTGTGTGTCCTGATTCCAGTTTAAGGAGGTTAAAGGTTAAAGGTTAAGGGTTAGCTTAAAAGCATCATCTGCCTAGCTGCTTAACTTTAAACTGATCAATTTAATGAAAATCTGTTTTACAGATGTTGTTTTAATGTATTTGGCAGGATTTAGGCAGCTTTAACATTAGACGTATGCTAGTAAAAATTATTTCTTTATTTGACCAGAACAACACCTTTCCTTTTATGTTTAAAGTAGAAGGCTTGCGGGTTATGGTATTTTGGCAAAGAACCCAGAGGCAGAATGTGTTGATGATCTTTCCATATGGACTCAAAAAAAGAATACCTTTATGTCTATTGCTAACGATGACTGCAAAAACAAACAAGGCTGTATTCATTTTTTGGCAGTATTATTTTCCTTAGAATTTTTTTCTAAAGAGGAATTTTGTTATTGTTAAGAAAATCTTACTCATTTCTTCAAGCACAGTTCTCTGAAGCGCTCAGGACTATTAAATTTTGATTTTTTCCTCCAGAAATTTTAATGATGAAGCGAAATGGGTCTAGGAAATTAAAACAATAAAATGAAACTGCAGGTTGCCCTTAATCTTCTCTTTTAATGTATGAAAGTATATTTAAAGTGAGGTTAATAAGTACTCAATGCATAGATAGCTACAATCAGTGTTACAAGGTAAACTGTGTCTGTACCTATCTCTCTATATAATACAAAAGCAGCGTTTCTGAGCTGACCACCTTATTAGATTTGATTATATTCTTCTCATTTCACGCCTTTGCATCCTCTACGAATTTTTTCAATTGATACTCACATAATGAGTCCTCAATAAATATTTGTAGGATGAATAATGGACTAATGAATAAACTGAGAAACGTGTTAAAGAAACCCTTTTACTTCCAACCCTCATTAAAAAAAAAAATGCATTGCAATTTGATCCACCCCTAAATTATCCCAAACTTTTTCTAAAGAGTCCAGAAAAAGATCTCATAAAAACTACTTAGCACTACACATTCAAACTGAGGAGGAACAAATAAGACTTTGGCAATATTTTAGATTTACAGTTTAGCTTATTCTTGGCTCCGCATGGCCATGACTTGTCCGGCCAGCTGATGGGTCTCCCGCCATCCCACGCAGGGCATGCAAGTACTGTGCTGCACCTGCATTTCAGCTGCTCCTATAATGCTGTGTGGATTTTCAAGTGGTGTTCGCAGCTTTGCTGGTTCAAAGTCAAAAGCTTAATTATACTAGCTTTTTTCCTTCCTGCATCTGCTAGTGGTGAAGCGGAATAGTCTGTCTGAATTCCATAATGCTGTTTTCATATTTGGATTTCAAATTGGCTGGGAACAGTGAATGAATCTCTTGTCTCCATGGTGAGCAGAGGCACACACGTGGGATTTGGTCCTAGGTAACTTTTAGTGTAACATTCCCCTAAGGAACGTTTTTGGAGTTTTCTCATTATCCATGTTATGGCTGAAAGAATCCGGGTTAAGAACTAAAATCAAGGTGTGGGGGAGGGTCGTAGAAGAGAATGCAAGGAGCCACGTTGGGAAAAGTATGTGGCAAGGAAATAAAAAAATGGAATAATTAGCTTCACCTACCTTGTTTGCTTTTTTACTAGTAGGAAGTAATAACCTGATCAGTGTGGAATTACCAAAGAATCACAAGCATTTTCGTTTCAATAGGCCTGAGTCCAACTTTGCAATTTAAAATCAAATATACCAGATATGTACCATTTCAATTATTGAACTGTCATTGTCCCGGTGTGATGGTAAAAGAGGTCAGGAGATTGTGTGGTACACATTTGCATAAAAGTCATTGTGTAAAAGGAAATTGGAATATGTGTGTGTATCTAGGAAACCAAAACAGGTTTTTCTTAATCTTATTCTAGACATTTGTTTAGATGAAGAAAGCTGTTTTCAGAGATAAACAAAAGTTATTCTTTTCTGTTGCTGAACATTAACCTGAATATGGAAATTTTTGCACTTTTTGTATTAGTTTCAGATTTATGTTCCTTTCAAGGTTGAGGTGCAGTGTGAAATTGAATTCCAGTCGCAGGATTTATTTTTTGAAAAGTAATCACAATTCAAGTATTCTATTGTATTGTCATATCAGAAGACAAGGCAGAGGTTGAAAAAACACTTTCTGTAGTAGAACAATGCGTGCTTGCATAATGCTTATAACTAATAAATACACTGATCAAACAGAGAGGATCTGGTTAGCTAATAGCAACTAATAAATCACGGGTGTTTTCAGATCGCAATGCAATTGGCCAGCCCTATCTCCTACGTCTGCGTCTGTTT